GCTGTATTCTGTTTAACCAAGCAACGAAGTAAGGTTGGCCTCTTATCGTACCTGCCTTGTGTTTTTCTTTTGGTTTTATCTACAGTCGGGAATGCCCAGCTACATGTTGGATCCAGCACAGATAACTAGGGACGGTCCTGATTTCTCTCCTGGACAACCCATACAACCTGGTCAACCTTCAAGCAGCCTCGGGGTCATTGGGCGTAGAAATAACTCAGAATTAGGAGCCATTGGTGACCCTTCAGCTTTAGGGCCAATGCATAATGAGCAGATGCACACTCTCCAGATGCTTGAAGCTGCTTTCTTAAGACTTCCTCAACCCAAAGATTCAGAACGTCCTAGACCCTATACTCCGGTACACCATTCTTCTGAATTCTCTTTGGCCTCCCTACTTGATAATATTCGCTTGAAAGTGTCATATTCCCAATGATTTTGAACAGAGGAACCCAGCAATCACACCTTCAACATTTCCCCAAACACAAGCACCAATCATAAATAACCCTTTGCTTTGGGAACGTTTAGGCAGCGATGCTTATGGAACCGATACTTTGTTCTTTGCATTTTATTATCAGCAGGTACCAAATACAAAACGCTCTGATTTTCACTAATCCCATCTTTTATGTTATCATCTTCTTCCTTTTTAGGCCTTATCGGTTAAGTCTGTTCTTATATTCTCTTTGTTTGTTTTTTTCCTTGGGTTTGTTTATTTAGAACTCGTATCAGCAATATCTAGCTGCAAAAGAGCTGAAGAAACAGTCATGGAGATACCACAGAAAGTTCAACACTTGGTTTCAGAGACATAAGGAACCAAAGATTGCAACGGATGAGTATGAACAAGGAGCATATGTGTATTTCGATTTCCAAACCCCCAAAGACGAGAACCAAGAAGGAGGATGGTATGATTTGATTCTCGTTTTCGATTGTCGATTTTAAAAATCATTTGAGCTTTAATTTTGTTGTCATCGTAGATGAGTTATTATTAATTGGTATGGTGCGTGTAGGTGTCAGAGGATCAAAAACGAGTTCATGTTTGAATACAGCTATCTTGAAGATGAACTTGCCGTATAGAAAAGAGAGAGATATATGTTTTATATGTGTATAAACTCTTGAGCAAGTGTTATCTCGTCTGCTTCTATTTATACTCTTTTTTTTCAATAAACTAATTACTTTCAGTTTCGAAGTTGGAATTCTTTGTTGAGTACTCTAATGACTAATAACCGAGTCTCATCACGGAATCTTCAATGCTTAAAAGTTATTCCAGAAGCCTGGTAATGAAATTTAAATTTAATATGTTGATGCTTAACAGTTTTGAATACGGTTAGAAGATTAACACATCTTTAACACTTGTTTATTATATTTTCCCGTACATTAATGAAAAAGACTTTAAATCATAAGTGAGTATGTTCCTTTAGATGTATACAAGAATGTGCATGTACCGAAGAGATTATGCAGCGTCGGTTGAAAGTATGGGCTTGTTTAGTGGATCGGCGAAATGTCATCACCACCACGTGGAGTGTGTCGCTTCCGGGTTTGACCTGGAAACGGCGTCGTTCTGCGTGCCCAACCAGACAGGCAATCCTTAGACCCCAAGCAATCCACTTTGCGTTTCGCATAATGAATGTATGGCACATATCAAAGACCGACCAAAGGAAAAAAAAAATATAATGTTACTGGATCAGTGATATAAATGGTTAGAAATACGTGTACTTTCAGTTTCAGAATTTATGACGGTTCAAACTAGTTTCGTCATTGTGTCATTATCTAATATTTAGATTATTCGGTAGTGTGAGAAGAAAAAATAGATCATAAGTAAATTATTTACATCTTATG